CGTAAAGTCAAGATAAGCCTCGGTTAAAGCCCTATCCAAAACAGACTAACTGTAGATATGAGATGTTACACCTACCTGGATCAACAATCTAGGTAAAACTCTTAGCTTAAAAGTCAATGTTTTTCAGTTTAGACCTTGCCCTGTCTGCTCACTGTCAGTCATTACTTAAGCGCCCCCTATCCTTGTGTGTAGATAATAGCTGGTAGGCCCCAGCTCCTGCAGTTTGTCTGATAGGAAGACTCTGATCCAGATTTTGTTCTTTCCTGCAGCTCCTCCACTGACTGTCACAACATAAACTGATGATGATTTTGGTGATTTTGGTCTTATCTTGTTTCCATGACAACGCAGCTTTTTTGTCCAATCATGTCAAGATTTGATGCATTGAACATACTCTACACCTGTTGTGCTGCTATGGTAACATGATGGTTTAATGAGCAATTCTTGCTTTATGTGCTTAGATATGCTGTGCTGTTGTGCTGTTGCAATGGTAAGATGATATCATGCTCTGTTGCCATGATAAAAAAATATGATGAAAAGCCACAGTACAAATGCATGATAACATGCTGATGCTCCGTTGCTATGGTAAAATCTTAACATGCTCTGTTGCTATGGTAAAATATTTACATGCTCTGTTTCTATTGTAACATCCTAAAATGCTCTGTTGCTGTTATAACATCTTCAAATGCTTTTTTGATATGGAAGAATCTTAAAATGCCATATTGCAATGAAAAAAGTATAACAAGCTCTGTTGCTCTGGCAAAACATGTTGTAGATTAAATGTTGGTGCTCTGTTGCTATAGTACTGAGATATCGCATATCCTGTTGCTGCGATAAAATCATGATGTAAAGCTACGTTGCTGTCATCAAATGTTAATGCTCTGTTGCTGTGGTGAAATTTTGACATGCCCTGTTGCATTGGTTAAAAATTGTACTGACTGCAATCATTGTTATAAAAGGCTGTCCCTGTTGCTATGGTAACACGAATATACATTTCTGTTTTGCAGTGCATTGTGGATGTGGGATGGACAGATTGCTCACTCTTGTTTTATTTTGTAAATAATGAACTGGGGCTGCTGAATCCTTTTCCTCTGTCACTTTTTTCTGATGTTGCTGTGTTTTGACAATGCGACTACACCCACCCCCCACCCACCAAGCCTTTCCTCTGCACATGCTCAGTAGGTTTTTGGATTGTAGAACATTGAGATGAGGTCTAGCATCTTTAGTTTGGTAGCTGTTTGTTGTATGTATGTTTGATAATGTTTTGGATGTTTCCACCTTGAAGCTAATTTTTTTTGTTCCTACTGTCAGTGTAAACAAATGTGTATGATCATATAACCATACATGATGTGGAGTCGTCTTTGCTTTGGTTAATAAAAGGACATTCCTGATGTACTCATGCTCCCCTGCAATCAGCTCTCTCTAATTGCCTGCTCTTTACTGTCTGATGATGGATGGATGATGGAAACTCATTCATTTTTGAGTTTCTGGGTCATTTTTTTCATCTTGAATTGTATCTGAGTTGGTTTTATTTGGAACACGGAGGACTTTCATTTTCAGTGCAGTATGAGGTACTTAAATTTTAAACTTTGTCAAAGGTAATCTTTGCCTTTTATATTGGAAATTTAGATATAGGGTAGATCAAAATATGAAGTTGAAACTATCAGTTCTGCTAGCAGCTCGGCCCAATATTTAAAGTTAATTTCTGACTGAAACGGTGGCTGATTGATGCTATCTGCTGAGCTTGTGCACAAGGTAACAGCTACAGTAGCAGGGAAGCAAATTGCTGACAGGCCAACATGGAGACAAAGGTAGTACCGTTTTTATAAGACTAATTCGGCATGATTTCATGTTTTATCTGAAAAACTTCAGTTCTTTCAGGATTAATGTTCTGTGATGTGAAAATGAAGCCACTGAATAATCATATTTGGTGCACACATGCAGCTATACTGAGCTTCACTAGCAGAAAGCATCACTACATTTTGTTTTGACTGAAAAGGAAACGTCTGCTCAGGAAATGGTTAACCTCTAAACAGGTACACAGATGGCAATGCTCTACTAGCTGTGCACTCAGTATTTGTGTGTGTTTGTGTGCATGAGGTCTTTATCACATGTGAAACACTGCCTAGGCAAATGATTGTTGGTAAAAATGACTGTGTGACTTGTGTGTGGAGGAAAGGAGAAAATGTGTTAAAGGGAAATTCTGATGATAGACTTGGATGCAAGACTGAATGTGTGATAGAGAAGTAATTGATGAATTACTGACACCGACCTGTTAATTACCAGCCGAGTTCCCCCTCCTCCTGATCAGTAGACAGAAAGCAGGACGTACAGGTGAGTGGCAGACATTTTGATGGTCCATTTAGACAATGAGAGAAATGATGCAGTCTAATGAAGACCTGCAAATGTTAAGTTGTAGCCTGTAGACAATCATCAGCAGTCCTAGATTCACCTTAAAGGGATTCAATCCTTCACAGTGAGGAGTCACCTTATGATACCTAGTACATCGTTGGTAAGAGTACATTTTTAATTGTAATTGATGAGTCATGGACTTTAGAGGTGCTGGTGCTAAGTTGTCACTTATAATGCTAACGTCATAGGTGGTGGTCACTAGATAATAGATGGTGTTGATAAGGTAGACGACAGCATGTAGATATTATCCAAATGTTAGTTGATGGTTGTGTGTAAATGTTAAATAATTGCCGGTTGATGTTGTTTTATCACTAGCTGGTAGCCTGTAGGTCTAGATTGGACATGCTTAGTCTGGAGATGATGGTGGTCTGCAGGTGGAGGCATTCATTTGCCACCTATTTGGTAACACTAGATGATTGGTGGTGGCATGTAAATGGTACATATTAGATGGGAGCATATGGTAATATTAATGAGCTAGGTGGTGGCACATGGTACATACATGTTGGCCTGTAGTTAGCGACATGTAGGAGGTTGATAGATGTCAATTGTCTGTAGATTGTGCATGTATAACGTCATCCTATAGTTAGTGGCCTGTAGATGGTTCATCGGTGTTTGTCTGTAGTTTGCGGCCTGTAAAGGGCTTGTAGATGTTAGTGGTCTGCAGATAGTATACAGACGTTAGCCTGTACTTAGTGGCCTTAGTTTACATAGATGTAAGCAGGATGTACAGGGATCATAAATTATAGTGGCATGTAAATGGAACTTGGATGTTAGCCTGTAGTTAGAGGCCTGTAGAGGGTACATCTACAAGACATAGATTAACATACATGTATCATTAGCTTGTTCTTCATTGAAGCTAACCTATGTAGTGATTTATATATCCACCATTCACTGTGTGTGTGTGTGTGTGTGTGTGTGTGTGTGTGTGTGTGTGTGTGTGTGTGTGTGTGTGTGTGTGTGTGTGTGTGTGTGTGTGTGTGTTTTACAGGATTCAACATTAAATTACATTTGCTGTTTTTTCCTTTGGCTGACGCTCAGGATTCAACATTAAATTACATTTGCTGTTTTTTCCTTTGGCTGACGCTCTGCAGCTTTCTCTGACTCCTCTGCTGCAAAGGATGAATAAAATTAAACTTTCATTGTTCTTTGTGAGGAATCTGGCTCTTTATCCATAAGTTTATTCTGTTTCTCCTCCGCCTGAACATTCTGTAATTATACTTCTGACTTTCCTGTTTTCTCCCAGAGAATCAATGCAAAGTTTCTCTGACACCATTCTGCTGCCTTTTGTTTTTGCTTCTTAAAATCACAGAATTACACATATTCATTTTTGACTTTGAGGACAGTAGTTGGACAAAATAATGATTAGCTAAAAGTCCATATACTTGCATTTTCTGGAGATTTCAGCTCCATGTCACAGTCTTCCTGAGCAGATATTGTCAGTTTTTATCCAAAGAATGTGCCATCACTTGTTCACATCTTTAACCCATCTCCATAACAAAAGAGAAAACGATATCTACAGGAGATATAGTTGAAGGCTCTTGAAAGCTGTTCGGTCAAAGTTCTGAAGTTGCAGAATGTGGTATTGACTCGTTTCTTTCACCAAGAAATATATTAAAATCAGTCATATGAAGTAATATGGATAAAGAGTATAATAATTTATATCTAGTGAATGTGAAAGATTTACACGAAAGGCTGAAGAAATTTCTAAATTGAACACAGTGCAAGTAATTTTGCTTTGTAATGAACCAATTAAATGTTGAAACACTGCTGCTGGTCTGTGGTATAGACTTATCTAAAGTATAGGTACTACTGTACCTTTTCAAGCTGCTGTAGATGTTAAGCATTTGTCTGAATGTGCCCAGTTCTGCACAAGACTGTAAATCATATTATTCCTTGTGTCATATCATGGAGCTTGAAATTACTGCAACCTGCAAGCCTTGAATAAGAACAATTGCGTTCAGCCTTTGAGACTTTGTTTGTGTTTCAAAATGATAAACCAGATGCACCACTGATTTGAGACTGAGCAGTCTGTTACATAGTTTCTTCGTTTTTCATCACCTGGCTTTTCTGCTCTCAAAGAATGTATAGCTCTGGTATTCTATATACATAGAAGTCTGGCCTTTGTGCTGCTAAAGTGCACCTTGTGACACATACATTGAGATTGTAATGACCAATCCAGATCCTATGATATTAGATATGCTTTTATCCTTAAGTTTTGCATTCTACATAATCTTACTTACTTGATGCCTGTTTTTGACTCTTGCTGCTGTAATATTTGAAATTTCCCCATTGTGGGATTAATAAAGGATTCTCTGACCTTTTTTTTAATATTTTGTGTACTAATGATAATCGGCTGTGATCTTTGTTAAACTGCTGTGCCTCTTTCTCAAGGTGGTAAACCTGCTGTTAGAAAATTCTTTGATCTGATTGGGTCAGTTTATTGTGACGCTGCTTTTATTTTGAAAGAGTCTGGTCGGAAAGGGCTCGAGACGTCATCCGGTGGCTCAAACCACAGGGGGGCGTGATCGACATTCGTGCGGTCCAATCAGAAAGCGCTTTTGCAACCTTTTGACCAATCGGAGTGCGGCTGCCGCTCCCTGTTAGCTGAAGCTGCTGCAAAGAGACACACGTTCGATTCCGGCTTCAGTTTCAGAGGAGCGACGCGCGTTTCTCCGCTGCGGTTCAGTGTCGGAAGTGTAAAGGAGAGATCAGGGAGTCAGCTCCGGGTTCACTGGGTGAGGAGGGGTCGCTTCCTGTCCCGGGCTGTGACAGTGCGTGTGTTCCCCGCCCTGCTGCGTGATCCCGCGGGTTGAAGGAGATCAGACACCGCGAGTCGGAAGAGGTGACACACACAAAGTTTAGTGTGTGTGTGTGTGTGTGTGTGTGTGTGTGTGTGTGTGTGTGAGAGAGTGAGAGAAAAAGTGGGAGTGTGCGCGCGCGTTTTTGAGGGAGAGCGTTTGTGTGTGTGTGTGCGCGCACGCGCGCATGTTATTTTGGTTAAACACCGTCATTGTGGGGACATTTAGCTCGTCCTCAGGATTTTAATTGGCTTTGTGATGGTTAAGACGTGTGTGTCTTAACCACCGTGTGTGTGTGTGTGTGTGTGTGTGAGAGAGAATGAATGACAGAGAGAAAGGGAGTTCCTGTACTTCCTGTCCCTGAGCTGTGTGAGGGTTACCTCTTGTTTCAGAGTTCGTGTCACTGTGAGTCATGTAGCTGTGATGTGTAAAGTAAGGGGCTGTGGCATGTATCATGTCAACGAGTGTCCTCACTAAGATAGTAGTACAAGCGTGTGTGTGTGTGTGAGAGCAGTACTGACTGACTGACTGACTGACTCACTGACTGACTCACTGACTGACTGACTGACTGGTTTAACAGCTTCTGATCACCTCCTTCAGTCTCAGGCTGGTGTTGCCTTCAGGTGCCTCTCGCTCAGTTCACTTGTTAAACCAGTGGCGCTCCTCACCCTGACAGCATCAGAGCCCTCAGTAGGAAGTGGGACTTCTGGTGAGAACTCTCATATGAAGGATGATTATGGTTTAAAGATAGGCGTGCCTCGTTTTAAATTCAAACTAGTGCATTGCTCATGGACACAGGAGCAGGTGGGATTTGAACCACCGACATCATGAGCTGAAGCCTCCAGAGACCAGGAACAACGAATCACTCAGTTCTCAGAGACTTGATAACTAATGGATCTTAATATTTGTATGTTTTGAGGATTCATTTCTTTTGCAGATGAAGAAAAATGGATCAAGCGAAATGTTTTCATGATGTTGCTGTTGAGCCTTTAGTGAAAGTTTGTGATCTCTGAGAACTTTTTTAGTTTTAATTTAAACTTAAACACCAGTGACTCCATCAGTTCTCCGTATGCAAGTTTATTCACTATAACGTCATACAGACACAGAGCTCAGTCCTGCTTAATGGACGAGCTGTGTTTCAGTATCTGTTGCTTCCTTTGCATGAGGACAAGATACGTTTAGGTAATCAGACAGAGTGTGTGTGACGCAACATAATGTAAATTCAGTGCAGATTAACATGATAAATGTTTTTTATACTGTGTCTGGATGTGGATGTTTTTCACATACATAGTTTTACAGCTGTGGTTCGTCAGTGAAGTCACCATGATGCCTTGAATTGTTTTTTAGAACTGTTTTGTTTGGATTCACTGTTGAGCTGACCTCACTCCAGTGAAGGTTTTTTTTAATGACAGTAAACTGAATATTTTAGGGGTTTGGAGGTTGGTCAGTATGCAGAGTTTTAAAAAAGTATGTAGTTGATTAACTGTTTCCTGCAATGCACTGATGAAATACACATTTGTTAACATAGGCACTTGGGTAATTTCTTGTTGGGATAAAACAGGAAGTACAAGCACATTCTTTGATGGTAACTGTAAATATGGAATACTATTACAACTCTTAACAGTGCTGTTAAGTTGTTATGGAGCCATTTTGGATGTAGCTGACGTTTCTCTTGATAACATGTTAAATAGTCTTAACTCTGCCAAGGAGGTTCTGTCTTCACCCTGGTCTGTTTGTTTCTTGGTCTGTTTGTAAGCAAGATTACGCAGAAGCTCCCAGACAGATTTCAGTGAGTCTTGGTGGAAGGATGTGGTTTGGGTCAGAGAGGAATCCACCATTTTCACTGATATCTCATGGAATAATATATGGATCTTGATTAGACAAAAAAATTCAGGCATGTTTGGAGGACTGATATTTGAGTGTGTGTGTATTTTGGTGTTGCTTAAATTGATTTAAGGACTCTTGTGCCTGGGTGTAGGTATGTGCTGTACTCAGTGACATTCTAGTCTACAGTCTGTCAAACAGCAAATCTAACAGAGAATCTACTCGGTTTATATTTTATTTCTGTATTTTGAACAGTTGTCCAACCAATGAACCTGTGCATTTCAGCCACAGACGGTTTTAATACGACAGACTGTCCCGTCTGTAGTGAGACCAAAGTCTGTCTCCTTAATCCTGATCCAAACATTTCTCTCTCCCTTTCCAGATGGCGAAAGACTGTGTCTCGAAGGTGGAGCTGTGCATCTCCTGCACGAACCTGCTGGATAAAGATGTCGGCTCGAAGTCTGACCCTCTGTGTGTGCTGCTGCAGGGCACAGGAGGAGACAAATGGACTGAGGTAACATCTATATGTATCTATAAATCTATATCTACATCTATAAATATGTTTGATTTAATAAATGATATAATAAAAAAACTCATCCGTCTGTTTCAGCTGGGTCGAACTGAGAGGTTGAACAACACCTCCAGTCCGTCCTTCAGTCAGCGTCTCAAGCTGGATTATCACTTTGAGACGGTTCAGAATCTGAAGTTGGGGGTGTACGACATCGACAACTCCTCCGTTGACCTCAGCGACGATGACTACCTGGGTGGTGTCGAGCTAACACTGGGACAGGTCTGCACCAGAACATGCATACAGCTCCTTTACACTGTGTTGCTTCGAACTGTCTGGATGTAATTTGATGGCCATGACAGAAATGTGGTCAAATCTGTGGTCGTCAATGTTAAATGGTCATAGGTCTGTAGGAAACAACCTCCGATGGCTGATTGGTAGCTTTGGCTAAATATACGACATAGATGCAAAAGAATAATGTCGATAAACCTTTACCTCATCAAGTATCGAACCTGCTGCTGTGAGATCGAGGACCATCATTTTGTATTGATGACCACATTTCTGTAACGCACATGACCAACGTCTCCTCCAGCCATTCAAAATACAACCTGAAACTATGTATGTACTATGTATGTATGTACATTTGTTGTATTTGATGGGCTATGTTAATATAGTGTGTTTATCCAAAGCACTCTTACCTCCGTCACTACAGTAATGAGGCAGGATGGGAGTCTGTTGTCATGGATACGGCTGAAAGGGACTCCTCTGTGTGTGTTTCAGATCGTTTCCAGTAAAAGTGTGACCAGACCTCTGCAGCTGAAGAAAGGCAAACCTGCAGGGAAAGGAACCATCACTGTGTGTACACCGCGTGTGTCTGTCTGTCTGTCTGTCTGTCTGTCTGTCTGT